CTCCCCTCTGTCTCACTCACTCCCCCCTGTCTCACCCGCTCTCTCCACACTACACCATCATATGCTCACCATTTCATGATCTGGCTGCAGGTCTTCTCCTTCCACTTGAATAGCAAATTGTGGACAGTAACTGTTTCCTTGACCAACCTAAAATACAGAAAACTCATTCACACACTTGAATATTACCAAGCTGTTTTGCATTCATTGGCAAGTTATGCATTAGGAAGGTTTACTTACAAAGTAATTTACCACTTGGACAAAAAGGAATAAGTTAAAATATGCTTCCCCCAACATATTACTTCTCAGAGCCAGAGTATTCATTTCTCTGAAATTACAGCTATGTTCTGCTTTCATCAACTATAAGGGTAATTAGTCTGGTGTATACAGTAAAAAATGATGTATCTTGCAAGTAGCAGTAACAAAGCTCTCCTTGATAGTAACAAAACTTACCAAAGAATGACTTGGTACATTTTCAGTAGAACTTCTGGGATCAAAGTAAGGTCTAAAAAAGTTAATTATGACTGTTGGTCAAAAGGAATGCTCAGCCTTACAAATTGAAGGAAATCCTAACTGTTCCAAACATTCTAGAAATACCTCAGTGATGGTTTAGGTGTTGACACAATGCTAATGGTGTCTTCAAGAAAGTCATTTTCTGCATCACTGTCCAAATCCTCCAGATCATCAGGAAAAAGGAAATCATCAGCGGTTTCATTTTCTGGAGGACTGATGTCAATATCTGGGTATGTTCCCATTTCACTTTCTAACTCCTAAAGGTGAAATGAATTAACTTGTGACTTTACTTTTTCATACATTCATGTAAAATGCATGAATGTCCACAGAACAAATTTTGGTAGTACTTACTTCCTCTGGAACTTTAAACTTCTTTAAGAGTGCGATAAACTTTTGTTTAAAATTCTTTTGGTGCTGTATGAAAACAATTTATTAATAGAATTACATACAACATCACTAAAAGCCTGGCAATCTAAAACATGTGGCAAGCATTGCATAAGATTGCTTATACCAGTCAGCATTAACAAGGCATGAGGAGGGCATGGGGTCAGACTAAGGAACAGACCCTGTAGGAAATTTGTTTAATTCATCATTTCTGCTCACTAACCCACTTACTTCACAAAACCTGTTACTGTGGCAACATGTAAAGTGAGCAGTGCTGAGTTTCATGTAAGATCACCACAAGTTCGTGTGTATTTTAAGTGATATTTGATGTAAATTTGGTCATAATTTGGCCCTCCATTTGTCTGGGAAAGAAGGTACCTCTTTGGGAATGCATGAATGAATTTTGTGTTTTGGCCTGCCATGATGCTTGACCATATGTAAAGCAACAAAGTTTTCCCTTAGTGATGATAATTACAAGAAAACCTGGGTGCAATGTATAGGGGAAATCAACATTTACTTGAATTTACTATGAAAAATCAAAATCCAGAAAATTATGGGCAGTTTTTAGGGGAAATTTCTGGGTAACAATAAATTACATGCCTATACTTTAATCCTTTGTTCTTTGGGTACTTCACAGTCACCATTTCTCACCCATTATTTGAAATCAAGGTTTTACCCCTGATTTCTCTAATTGCAACCAAATATCTATGTTGGTGTGGGTCTTTGCCAAGATCACCCATAAAACAATCACTATTGCTAAAAAAAAATGATCACTATTGCTGAAATTTCTTCAAAAAGCCCATAAAACTTTTACAATATGACAAATAATTGAGAAATTTGACTATTTCCTATTTGAAGAGAAAGAATGAACAGACAAATAACTTTCTCAAATCTTAGCACTATTAATGTATATGGAAATCAATAAGATATTTAACAAACTGTTGGTGAATATTGGAGCTGTGTTAGAAATTAAGCTAAGTGAATATCAACCCAACATTGTTTGGCCTTTTCACTGTGAGTTGCTGCAACCATTAATGGACTGGAAACCAGCACTCAGGCAAACTATAAAGAATTCAAGCAGATAATGACCAACAGTTCAGTGGAATGAACCAAAGCAGGCTATTCAATGAAGCTGATAGATAATTATGTTCAATGACTACATTTAAAGCCCTCTTTTTTATTTAACAATACCGTATAGTTTTTATTACAAAATCTGGTCAGCTGAATTTTCCAAACCTTCGCAGGAATAGTGATTTTTCCATGTCTTATTTTCCCACCTTGTCTCTGTTCCACATCTAGAATATCCTTTAAAATGCAAATTTTAGAACAGACTAATTGTTACAAATGATATCCACTGCCTAAATACAGTCATTTAAAATGTGACCAATAAAACCCACAACCCAAGATTACAAATTAACCAAAGAACTAAGATTGAAATCAAATTTCTCTTTGTTAATTGCTATTTACAGCTGGTGATCATTGGTGGTAATGAAAATCATTGCAAGACATTGAGAATTCAGAGTAATAAACTTACAGCATCCCCACCACTGTCACTTCCTTCCTGGTCAGACAGTGAGAAGTCATCATCATCATCACTAGAATTGTCGTCACCATCACCTGAAATGTGAAAAAGAAGAAGAACATGTAATTAATGGTGTGTACAGGTAAAAGTATTTTGTTAAATAGAACTGGGGCATTTTTTAAATTTGAATTCAAGAAACTCTTTAAGTCTTGCACATCATCATTAAAACAAACCCTGGTGTTAAATAATGGTAATTGTGGCCAAGGTGACACCAAATAATATTGAAAATGATGTACTTTAACTACCTCTGACTAATGATCCAGTAAGTCTGACTCCATCTGTTTCAACTGGTTGACTGAAAATTAATACAGAAAAATTAATACATCAGATTTTTCCTATTAGAAAAACTAAAACAAAAACAAAAATTATTGTTTGAAAAATTATCTTGAAATAGAAACAAAAATTGTAAAATTAAAAAAAAAACTTAGACTGTTCTCCCAAATGCAAAACACCTAATATTTTCAAATATGAGCTGTTGAGACATCTCCTGTCTAAACATACCAGTGACTATAGTTGAATGTGAGTAACTGGCTGTGATTGGTATGACTTTGTGACATAATCATTACATCACTTAAATTAAATATTATTAATCTTTATTTGGTGCATATAAATCAGCTGAGGTATGTAAATAACAGCATCATATTTGAGCCTCATACTAATTCCAGTTTCCACAATACCAAAAGTGTGAAAATTATGTTAAATTTTATGGTGCTAACTTTTAATATTTCATCAGAAAACTGCATCACAATGGACAGGAACAATGTTGAACTACATGATGCATTACCTGGTAAGGGAATTGACTGTAATCAGGGCCACTGGAACAAGACTTCCTTTCGTGTACAACTTGAGTTGATTGTCCACTGAGTGCTGGAGAACCTAGTGAGATATCAATGAATATTATCATAAGCCTGACAAGAATTGTTATGACACGGTGAACCTTTTTTTGTCTTGTAACGAGCATGGGACAAAAAAAAATTCTAAGTCCCGTGAAGAATGGAACCTTGGACCTTTGGATTCCACACTCCAATGCTCTACCACTGAGCCACAGAGACTCCACAGTGAGCGAGGTCTATCACGAAGTTGATATGACACGCATCCTGCATATTTCTAGGATCGGCAATGTTGATAGCATAATATTTTTAGATAGAAATAAGGAATGGAGTCTCTATGGCTCAGTGGTAGAGCATCAGAGCGCAGAATCTGAAGGTCTGAGGTTCAATTCCTCGAGGGGACTCAGAATTTTTTCTTTGTCCCACACTCCTGACAAGAAGAAAAACACATCTTTCTCTATTTCTTTCCCAAGCTAAAAACCTACCATCTTTCTTATTTCTATCTACAATGAACCTTGCTTCTTAACAACCATACCATGTAGCCACAACAGATTTAATTACTTAGAAATTAATACCAACCTGTCCCATGTTAACAAGGCCTACAGCTAGTGTTTTAAATCCAAGAATTGTGCGATTCTTGTACTTCTTTCGTCGTTGAAGCATGACTTGAAGATTGTTACCAGCTCTCTTCAAAAAGTGTGGATACTGAAACAAAGAATAAAATAATCACAGTCTGCAAAGTGGAACTGCTCTGAAGTTGTAAAACAATATCCAGCAAACAGGTAATGAGAGTACTCAAATGTATCTTGATCAACACTAAATTCTCGCAACTAATTTACAAAGAAATGTGTAGCAGCTAGAGGGGAGAATTAACAATCAGATCTTGGGAGTTAAAGGGTTAAAAATTCATAATTTGCATACTCTAGCAATAGGCTTCATGTCTGCTTTCAGGTATTTTTTTTCCCTTTCATTAATGATTTTTTTTTCTTTTAATTGTCCAATTCAAAGGGGATAATTTGCAAACCAAATTATCCATGATGCAATAAAAAATATAAGCTGCCGAGCTGGTTCAAGAGCTAAAGACCAACACACCTCTTTACCTGGTATATTGATTGAAACAAGACTGTGTATCAGAATGCACGAGCGCTTCTTTGTCTGATTATGTAGTTTTTTTTTGCAGTACAAATGTGCCGTGCAATACTGAGAAATTGCCCTAAATCATACCTATAGACTAAGCATCAAAGAGAAAAAAAAGCATGCTTCTTCCTTGTTTTTAGTACCACAGGTACATGTAAGTCACTCAATTATTTTTCACCAATATTTAACTTTTCTATAAATTCCTTTAAATATCCCAGTGAAAGAAAAGTGTCCAAAGATTTTTCCAGCTTTGAGCACTAATTCATCAAGAAGCTCAGTGTAACTAATTCATGATTCAATTTATAACAATTCTTTCTCCTAGTTTTTGTTTCAGAAATAAGGTTTCTAACAAAAATTGCTATCCATGTCACTCAAAAAATGACTAATCATATGACAAGAAAATATAAATTCAAAGTGAAATTGATCTAAGTGGTCATGGGTGGACAAAATACTACAGTAAAAAATAGAAAAGAAAAGAAAAATAAATGTCTATTGGAAACATAAGGAGATATGAAAAGAATAAAATTAAGGAAGAAATTGAAATGCTGTCAGTGATAAATATATAAGATATGACCTGGATATCTGAGGCAGAAAATTACCTCAGATGTAAAGTGAATAAGTATAGGCTTATTAACTCAGTTTTCGCATGACTCCTTTCTCTCTTTCTTTAACATATGTTTCAATCTAAATACAAAAGCTACATCTGAAATTACTTCCCCATATGGGAAGCAAAACTATATAATATATTGTTTATGCCCATTTCCTGCAAGTCTGAGCAGACAGGTGAGATCATCATTTTTGTTGTCTGAATGGAAAAGTTGCCTGTCCCAAATACACAGACCGCCCATCATTTTCTTTTTCTGAATGGAAAAGTTGCCTGTCCCAAATATTCAGCCAGCCCAAGTTTCCTGCCCTAGTTACCATATTTTTAAATCTATAATTATCTTCATTAACCGACCTGCAGAGAAAAGGATAGATCCAAATCAGTGTCAATCAAACCAGAGGATGGAAGAACTATCTCATTTGACCTAAGTGTTCTGCGGGAGCTCTAAAAAAAAAACAACAAGTGTATCTATCAAAGATTAATAATAATAACTGTGTGTTGAATTACTGTAAATTCTGTTTAGTGTGTTGCTTACATACCCTATTCAAATATTACACTTTATAGCATTAATTATTTAATGGTTTATTTACCTGCATTGAGACTGAGATGATTACTTCAGTCAAACTTGGTTCTAAGGGTTTCAACAACTCCAGTCGAGTTAGCGTCATCGTACACAGCCTGAAACATAACTCAACTCATCAACTTTCTCATTTGACAACTTCCAAAGAAACATTTTCATGGTGGAGAGTACAATCATTGAATCCTGGAAAATTGTTATACTTGCTTTTATTGATTCTGATTCTGTGAGTAGTGGTAACAAAGTGTCTTAAGACTTTGACAGTAACTATCAATCCACTTTTATCCACATTAGGTATAAGCTTTGCATTAGTCACACTGAACTTAATTAAAAGGTTGGATTGCTGAATTGACTCTATTTTCTGCATCTCTGTATAACAATGCATGACTATATAATTATGAAAGTTCAGAAAAAGGTAAAAACGGAGTGATAAACCATACTCTCTTGGCACTAGTCAGTGGTTAACCAAGGTAATATACCCAAAGATAAAATGGGACCCTGTGTGATGCTTTATATTTCAAAAGGAAAAAAATACTCTTGCCCTAACAGAAGTTTACCTTTCATTACCAAAACATAAGGCTAATGGGAAATGAGGAAGCAAGAGAAGAATTGTCAAGAAACAGAGGCCTTTTAACATCACACCTCATTGCTACAAAAATGACAGTTTACAGGGAATATCTGCCAGTTAATTTTCATAACCTAGAATTTTATGAAACTCACCCACAAAGACCCACAAAAGCCTTTTAAACTAGAAGCTTACAAAACAATGCTAAATATCTTAATGTTACATTTTGGTAGCTCATTCCCATATATTTGGTCACATTTAAAACCTCACAAGAAATAAATAAATGGAATCCAACAATGTCTTTTTAAATAAATATATTTAATACCACAGAATTAGGCCTAACCACAAAATAAGATTAAGAGAGAATAAAATCTGTTTTGATTCCTAGAACACTTGCCAGATGTCTCTCATCAACAAAACAATAATTTATTAGCTTGGGAGGAATTTGCATACCTGCAGATTTTAGGTTTCTTATATTCTTTCTTCCTTTTTTTAGCTGATGGTTGAAATTTTTTAAAATCAACAGAATTGTATTTATTGATGAAGCCAGTAAGGATTTTAAAGAGAAGTACATATTTTTAAGTCAACCTGAGCAAAAATTGCCTTTATAGCACGGAAAGAACTAAACTTAAAATTCATGATTTTTTAATATGCAGTATATAAATATTTGTGTATACAATGTTCAACATGATGAATGAATGAATATCTAAGAGAAAGAGACAGCAGTTTACATTAGCTTGCTTTTTGACACAACGGTGTGAGCTAAAACTTTTGTAGAGAAAATGTGTCAATTGCTAAATCAGTATCAACCCCAGATAATTGAATAATTTGCTTTGAAGTACTTGAACCACAACTTACTCTCAGTGCAGTTTTCAGCCACAGCAGAGATTTCGTTTGTTCCTTCAAGAACATAAATAATGCGTAAACCGTAAAACTAAAACTCTGGTGTTATTCGAACGTTAAGGTGGAAAAGAAAAAAAAAACATCGCTGAGACTAATATTCTCTGAATAGTCCCCGTCCGTGATCTTTGTTCGTATGATCCAAATAAAATTTAGAAGAACACATGTCGACAAAAAATTGATAATTTCATTTCGGATATTCAAAACATTTTGAAAACCGAATTTGGCAGAGACAAATTCCAAAGTAAATAAATTTACAAATCAACAGATTTTCGTTAAGGGCAAGTTTCCTGGGTGCATATCACACCTCGGTTAAATTGCTACTTCCTTGAGAAAAATTTGAACGAACTGCTACAAAAAACTCCACCATAAATCTGCAAAATCGTAACGGTTTATCGCAACAGCATACAGCACGTGTTTGGTGATGACAAAATGGAGTAAAGTTAGACATTCGTGATTTCAATCCAACAAATAAAAGATCAAGATTGAGGGCAGTCATTTCTTTAAATACACGTTACTTACTTAGACCTGGGCAAGGAGACCTGCCTACATAAGCTTTAATACAACTGTCTTAGCTTGCTACATAAACAGATCTTCAGCAATAGACTCTCACTGCATAAGACTCAAGCCTGAGTCAACAGGACATGGTCTTCGGGAAAAATGTAAGCTTACCTTCAAGTGATTGCAAAAGTGCCGATACAAAAAAAAATAGTTTTCAAAAGCACTCACCGCGGTACACAGTTTGGCGACGTTCTCTCGACTTCCCAAGTGGCAAACAATTTCATGGGAACAGGTCTTTGGGGAGTGGAACCGGTCGAAACATCTCGACGAGTTCCCCCTGTCTCCGCCATATTGAGTCGATCTCATTGTTTTGGTGCAGTACGCTTGCGCATTGAATATGAACTTCCGGTAAAGTTAGGAATGTCAAGCAGCTTGAGATACCAACCTACACTGAACCTGAACATTCACTCAAGCAAAGTTGAGTAAATTGGAAATACTCGATTTCTATCAAAATTTAGCGAAAAATATTCCAAACATACGATAAACCCCCTCTCTACCGAAAAAACCAGAATGAAACGCATTTGTTTTCCTCAGGATGTCTTATTCAGTAGCAGAGGCAGGACATTCTTCAATCGAGATGTGAGTCGGTAAAAGTTGAAGTTACGGTACATAACCCCCGGTAAAGAGTGCCCTTATCTTTGTGCCGGACCTTTTTCCAAATATCCAAATATTGTGCCATAACGAAATTCACATTTCACTTTTGTTGTTTTATGCTCGTTGAAAATTGATTCAAAAGTCCATTTCCATGCAAGTCCTTTTTTTTCCATAAAAACGTCCTTAAATCTTCATTTTTCCTCATCAGTAGGAAGACAGAATTCGAATTCACTCCATGCTTTCTCTTTTTCCCTTTTCTCTTTAAACACAGGTCCGAATTTTAGTATTCGTTTCTCGTTTTAAAATTGAATTGGGATTCGAAACTTAGGACATGGATCGACGTAACGCTGTACATAGTGTGGTTTAGAGTTACTAGTTATTTTACTTATGCGATTTGCTTTGACCGACTACCAAGATGTCGCACCATCTAACTTTTGTATGCAAAACAGAGGCAATGTGCCAGTTTTTCGATAAACGTGGCTATTCTGGCTCTGTCGTTCACGCGGGCCACCGCCGTGCCCAACAAATTGATCGACAGTCAGCACTACAATCGGCTGAGAAGGATAACACTGACCGCATTCCATTTACTCTTACATTTCACCCTCACAACCACGCAGTTAAATCTATCATTCTTAAAAATTTTAAATTACTCCAAAACGATTCATAGACTAGCACTATCTTTTCGCAACCCCCAATTATTTCATTCAAACGTGACAAAAACATAGGCAATTCTTTAGTCAGGAGTTCATTTCAAACCAATGACCAATCTGGAACTTTCCAATGCGCTCACTCAAAATGCAAAACTTGTTCTTTCATTCATAACGTAAAGAAAATATCGGGACCCAAGAGATCCGTTAAGATCACTGATCACTTTACGTGTATCTCCGCCAGTGTTATTTACTGCATAACTTGCACTTATTGCAATAAGTTATACATCGGCGAAACAGGAAGACGACTTGGTGACCGATTCCGAGAACACCTTCGCGACTTGGAAAGAAAAGACAAGGACGCATCCAAACCAGTCGCTAGACACTTAAACTTCCTATTCATTCTAAACAGCATATGGCAGTTTGCGGCCTTTCCTTACATCTAGGCAGTTCGGAAAGCCGTAAAACAATAGAAAAAAACTTATCTCCCAAATCGGTACCATTAATCCCCGCGGAATCAAGGAGCGCTTTTCATTCAACTAATTTATTCCTGTTTTCTTGTCACCATATTCCCACCAATGGCGTAGCTCCACTTTCTGCATATAAACCCACAACTACTCCAATCGCTCTGACGAAGGGCTAGCGCTCGAAACGTAAGCTCTTTTACCCTTTACGGTGGCTAATTTACGTTTTCAACTCAGTTGTTAACACTAAATTACCTGACGCAGCACCACAGTTACTTTAGAAACTTACCCCTTTATTCACATGACGTAAAGAAACCAATTAGGTAGCGGTATTCACATTCCAGCGTAGTTACAGACAACTAGTCTCCTTCTCACCCGTCGTCTTGCGACTTCACCAGGGAAAACGAATGGGTTAAATGATTTCCAAAAAATTCATCGGGAAAAGCAATGACCGAGGTCAGACTGTTGGCTTAACTAAAAATCTTTTGCCTCCTCAGATTTACAACAAAGCGACTCCTCTTTAAGACGGTTTTATGAAGACACACAAGTTCACTTTTTTCGTGCAACGCCATACACGATGTAAATGAAATAGGCAAAACGAGATCCCGCCGGACAAATATCCTCGTAAAACGTTTGAAAAGCACTTTGCTGGAGACTGCCAGTTTTTTACATTTTTCATTTTCAGCCATATGTCGTGCCTTTTTATTTTTTGCATTACATCTTTCGGCAAATTACACTTAGATGATATCTCTAACTAAAGAGCGAGGAACAAAATTTTGACAGCTTTGACCAGATTTTTTTGACACTAACCTTAAGATGATGTAACTAGAACTGAATTTCACATTTTTAACCACGTCAGATAAGATTTTATTAATAACTATGGAAGGAATAAGTCATGTTAGGTCAGGTGTACAATGAGGATACAATATGATATGGTCAACGTGTGAGATACTGTGAAATGTAATGTAACCGCTACTGTATAGTTTTCACGGCAAGGCCAATATTGATATTTTGAGTGTGCGCCATGCCCGATCCACTCACTGCACAAAAGTAAACTTCTTGAAAGAAAATAAAAAAGATGCGAGGAACCCTTTGTTCTGATTTCTGAAAATATCGGTTCATTATGTTTAAATGAAGCGAAAAGACTTTCCGTAGCTAGACAAATCATATCCTCGTGGACATTTTAGAATTTGAGCCATAGGGGGATAAACTGAGTTCACTACCCTTCATGAACAAAAACAAATTCAAGCTTAAGACAGCAAGACTTAAGGTATGGATAGCGTGATTTGCATGACCGGAAATGTTCCAGAACAACTAAGACATCAAGAGTCGAATGCTATCAAAATTTGACACAAATAAATAAATTAGCAACTTCTGGAATAGTGGCCATATGAGCATTTTCTTAAAACTTATGTAAACATGTCTTAAGGGCCTTAGAAATTTAGGATTTGTGAATATTGATTCCAGATCTCTTGACATCCGATGGGAAATGAAGACCTCAACGCCTTTTGCTCCCATTTTACATCTATCATCAACTTCGTAGACTTTGTGTGGTTTCCTGCATAAACCGCCTCATTACGAGCTAACATAATCTGCCACAGGCGAGATCAGTTACCCACGCGCTTCAGCCAAAAATGGGGTCTGTACGAACAAACTGTTGGAAATACGAAAAGGAGAGACAAACAAGCGCAACAACTCTTTAGAGGACTCTGTCAATCATTTACATCAACAGATATGTTCTTATTCGGATTTGAGGTTATAATCTTGCTAAACACGAACGATACAATGTATTTCATTCAAGATACTCGTTAAGTGTATTTATATGTGTAGAAAAAAATAAAGTTTGCATATCTGCTCTATTAAATTATCAGGTAACAATATTATGTGTGGATGTAAATGGTGTGTTTAGTCCTCATGTGAGGCAGACATATGAGCCTGGTTCAGTTATCGATTGCTATTTTGTTTGGTAGAAGCTCTATGTCAATGTATAAAGATTGCCTGACCAAGTTACTGAGATCTTGAGAGAGGAATGTACCAGTTTTCCACAGCCGTAAGCGAGGCCAGTACAACTGTGAATTTACGCATATTGCAAATCGAATTTGGTTCGCCCACGCGATTCATGGGGCTTTGCCGCTCCTGCCGCACCGCAACTGATAGCTTGCTCGCAGCCATCCACATGAAAAATAATCGGGCTGAATTATCAACCCTGTAACGATAATATTTCCCTATTAACTGAAGGCAGAATTTGACCCGATCGTCGTACTCATCTGAAGTTTCCGTCGTTTTTTTAAACTCCTGAATATAGTTCGCCAAGCGACCTTTTCAAAACGCATAAGAAACAGAGTTTTTAACCATGCGTGAATAATTATTAGACACTCATCAGCTAAACGTCATCACTGAATCTTCCTATTCATTCAGCACATGTTAACAAGCTGACCTTTCAGCCTAGCTGCTGTGCAGATCTATTCTAAAAAAGACCTGTCAAATTTCATCTCCATTGGAACCACGTTGGAGCTTTCATTTAAGTGAAATTTCACGCCCGGATTACCGAGATTTCGCTCACTTGGAGCAACAGCACACATTTTAGGAAGTTTTGGTGAACGTTTATTGATCAATGGATTACATGATGTGTTTAGTAAAAATGAACTTGACCTTCAAATCCAGTCTGGCAAGAGTTATGTTACAGCTACAGGAGACAGAATCGCAAAATAAAAACAACAGATTCGTGTTGTCGGATGAAATTTTTTTAAATTTCCTTTCAGCTGCGCTATTAGCCCATGCTTTCGACTGTGCATCTTAACATTGTAGTTAAGTAGCCTTGATGAGTAGCGCAGGATGAAGACAAAGAAAGTCCAGTCCATTCTAATAATATTTTAGTGAAGACTTTATATTTTAGAATTCGTGTAGGTTTACCTGCTGCTAAAGAGTTAAATGAAACGAACAGTCGGAGGCAATGCTGCGTGAGTATTATCTTTAAACATCAACAACCTTCCATTTCATTTCAAACAAAGAGAGCAAATTGAGCTCCTCTCTTTTCTGGAACAACAGGTGGCAAACGTATTTGGTGTAACGTTTATCAAGCGCACGCTTCCCTTAAGTCCCCCCTCTAAAAAACAATTAGCGAGATGTATAAGTTGGTTTCTTGCCATCCCGAGCAGATCTTTCATCTTAACCGCTAGACCCCTTGAGCCATGTCATTATCGGATCATTATAACTCTGAGCCGAAGGTTCGACAGCATGCACTGCTCAATTTTTTCTCATGGTTATGTCAGGTATTCCAGCTTCTGCGCAGGCACAAATTCAAAACACCCAAGCAAATTTTGTTTTAGGAATAAAACAATTCATTCTGCAGACTCGTCGATGTAATGATCATTCTAGTGACTTAAGGCCACTGAGGGCCTTCACCAATCCAGTTAGGTGCATCACGGAATCAATGATCCATTCTTTTAAACAACCTGCGGCCGCGTTCCTGTGGTTTTACCGAATCTGTGTGATGCAGGCGTCTTCAATTTACACCTAACTCCCTTCACAGGGGGTAGCCGCCTATTCTATTACCTTCGCCGCCTCCAAAGGACTGTTGTTCATTGTTTG